CCGCACCTTCGGGAGCTACGTGCGCGCCTCCAACGAAAAGTTGGGGGGGTGGTGGGGCGGGCTGGGAGTGGGAGTGGGGAGGGGTGGGGTGTGGGGCGGGGTGGGAGTGGGAGTGGGGAGGGGTGGGGTGTGGGGTGGGGGTGGGGGTAGTCATTTGCATGTACACTTTCATGGCTGCCATCTCAGCCCTCAGATGGCTCGCCTGGCAGCCCGGGCTCGGAGCGACGAGGTGCAACAGCGCTGCAGCACCGACCATCGAACACGCACACGCCCCCGCCCACGCCCACTGTGCCCCATGCCCACGCCCACGCCCGCGCCCATGCCCACGCCCACGCCCATGCTCACGCCCGCCCAGCAAACACACACACACACACACACCCGCGCGCGCGCGTCCGCGGTCTCGCGGTCCGCATTCCGGCCAGGGCCGCTAGGAGTACGCGGGCCAGCTGGAAGGTCGATGTTGAGAAGTTTTCTAAGAGGAAAAGGCGAAGTGCTGGGCCTTCCCCGGCCCCGCGGGAAACCGATCCGGATACGGGGACACCGAAATGAAAACCCGTGATTCGAATTCGGCGAATCGGCCCTGGGGTGTGGACAGGCAAAGATCGCCTGCACATGGAGTCTTTGGGGACGATTGGAGTGTGGGACGCAGCCAAAACTTAGGGCAGTTGGACGATCATCGTGCCGCATGAGCGTTTGGCTGAAGAAATGGTTTGAGAACGGGCTGCGAAAAAACTCCCGGGAAAAACAAAAAAAACATCCTGCAGCTCCTCACTCAGAGTTGAGCCCTTGGCAGTTCTTCCACGTGTTGGGGGTGGGGTGTGGTGGCAGTGTGGAGGGGTGCGGGATTTGGGATTTGGCACCAAGGAGGCAAGCATCCAAAACCGGAGGGGCGTTTCTACTTTTGTTCAATCCTGTTGCACGAATTTTGGAAGTTTTTGGATAAGTTGCGGACGGTGAAGTGTTTGACGGGAGCACTTTAGAGATTCGTCTAGCGGCCTCGCGGATTTGGGGGAATCTCGAGGTTTTGCGGTTTTTGGTGGGGTTGAACCTAGGAAACCTTGCAAAAGTCTGCAAGACGATTGATGTTTTACCCAGGAATACCAAATGGACAAATCTGAAAGATATCCTTCCTACTTCAAACCTTTGAACTGAGGGAAAATTTGAAACTTTAGAGGGGAGCCAAACACTGAACAGACAGCTTTGTACAACGGTCTGTCCGAAAATGAGGGAAGCAAGTTTTGTCATAGGATTTATAGATGGGGTTACAAGCGGGGCTCAGGTTGAGGGTTTCCAGTGAATAATTTCCGATAAATCCCGCATGTCATGCCCCCCTTTTCAAGCTTTAGGAACACTCTGAACCCCTCATGTCATGCCCCCATTCCAAGATTTTGGAAGACTACAGTCCGTTTGAACCTTGGACAGTAGCCCAACAATATTTGAAGTTATTTTTTGGGGGGGAAGGATGGCTCTTTGGGCGAAGCGCATGCAAGCGTATCGATTGGGAATAGTATGAGGTTTGTCTCAAAATGGGTGCTTTGTTGTTTTCGAGTTTGCCTTGGTGGTTGTCAAGGGGGCGCCAAGCTTGGAAATTGAAACCACTCCCAGGCGGTTTATAGGTTGCGGAGCTGGGCTGCTGAAGCAAGCTGTCGGAAGTTTGGGTTTCTTTTTGTGACACTGTCAGGGTTGTGTTTCCCCCCTTTTGCTCTTTGTCTTTGAAAATTGTTCTGGCCGGAGCCAACGCAACCTGGGTATGTTAAATCCTCAAAAGGATGTCTGCCAACCGAAATGAGTCTGCGCGCACAGTATTTAAAAAGCAGATTGCGCAAGTGCTTAGACGCACCATGGGAGAACGGCAAGCCATCCAGTCTTTCGCTGGCGCCTTGCCGAGAAGCCGATTGTTCCTTCCCAAACTCAGTTTTCCTCGAAGCGGGTGGCTTGGAGGTGTGCAGTTTTGGGTGGCTTCCCGTTTATTCTCTAGAACCAGCGGCTCAATGTTGGGCGTTCATGCTGATCTAACTGAAATTGACTTCTTGGGAAGCCAACTCGATACTGAGCCAAATGGGTGTGGCTCAAAATTAAACAGGAGGGGTTACGCAGGTTTTGGTCCATGTTTCCACTTACCAGGGTTCCATTCTGGGTACCGGTTTTTTGAGCCACAGCCAAATGACCTCATGATACCCGGTTGGTTTGTCGCCCCTTCGCTTAGGCAAGGAGCGGTTGCGCCTCGAAGCCATCGGCGGCCTCGACGATGCGGCTGCCAAGGCCATCAATGTTTCTCAAAACGGGGCCTAAAACTTGTGGTAGCATTCAGCCATGAGGCCGATTTGGCGGCTAGTGGGCTGACCCGTCAAGGGCGAACTTCGACAGACTTTTCTTCGCGATTGTTGTTTTGGTTTCCCCAAGAAAAAGGTGGGGGCCCAAGAAAATGGAATGGTCCGAAATCCATTTGGAGGAACCATGCGATTGAAGTTGGAGAGTGTCGTGATTGTTTTCCACGTGCTTTTGGCGTGCAACTCAAAACAGGTCGAGATCAATTTCCCAAGCGGGAGACCCGACCAAGGTTGGGCGATGGCCCTTGAAACATCTTCGAGCACCTCTTCTTTAACTTCCATTTGGTTGAGCATATATGTGTTATTTCCCCTGCTGGGTTGAAAAGGAATCTATCACTACTGGAAGTCTTTGTCTCACTACTGTCAGTCCTTTTTGCAGAGGACGTAAGCAAATGGAGGCTAGGCAACCTCGTTTTGGCTACAAAAAGAAGGTGCCAAAGTCTCTACAACCTTGGTTTCACGCACCTGCTTTGCTTCTACACATCTCCGAACGGATTTGGATCACGAAGAAACAGGTTCCTCCCAAGGATCTTGGTCGACCAAAAACCTAAGGCGCCTTTGATAGGCTCGTGTTGAAAACCCGCCTTTTAGCCTGTTGGTTTTTTCTTTCTGGTCCGCTTTTAGCAAAGGTCCCAAAAGGTGATCACCTTTGATTTCCAGGCTCTTTGGGCAAGTGAGTGCAGACCATATCCGTGTTTCCAATCCTAGGTGAACCATTTACATTGTGTCCCTGAATCTCAAGAATCAACGCCCTTTGTCCACTTTCGCATGACATGATTCGCCCAGATGGAGACTGATGGATTTCTGAAGCAATCAAATCTTAGGGCTCCCTTCGGATCATTGTTCTCTGCGCAGTTCCCGACGATGTTTCACTCCCCAACGATGTTGTGGAACCTTTCCCTATTTTCCCAGCAAACTGTCCAAGATCCATTCGGGTGTGGCTCAAATTCAGGAACCAGGGGACCGCAGATTTTGGTTCAGGTTTCCATTTACGCAGGATTCTATTCTGGGCCCCTACTGTGGATGGACGAGATCCTTCACCACTGTAAAACTATGGTTGAAACCACAACGTTGCTTGGAATCTACGTTGGGGAATGGAATCAGACACCAGGATTTTGTTTCACGGTGGTGCGAGAAGCGGATTTAACGCCACCATCCACCATGAATTGGCTGCCACAGGCCCGTGTCTTTTCCTCAAAGGCTGAGTGTATGCGTCCATTGAATCCCTATTTTACGGCTTGCTTCACCGTTGATTCTGGCTGAATGAGACCCCAGCTTCTAGTTCATGGGTCCAAACGGGATTTGGGTTCCGAACTCCCCAGGTGGAGAAGGCCTGGCAGGAGCTGCAGGATCTGCTGCAGCGCGCGCTGCCGCTCTGCAAGGCCGCGCCTTGCCGCCAGAGGTGTCGATGGCGCGCAGGGCGCGCGCGCATGGCACGGAGCTCGCGAGCTCGCTGTGGGTGTTGGTTTAATTTTTGGAGCCCGGAGGCCCCGCAAAAACATATGGGGGGGGCTTTGAAAGGGAAAAGCCTTTGGACACCGATTTCTTATTTTGTGTTTTTAGGGGGCGGTGGATCTTTTTGTTTGGAGCTATTGAAGCATTGTGCGGTTGAATTTGACCAATTGCAGGACTTGCTGGCAGATGACCTGAAGCATAATGCATATCAACAAGCATCCACATGTTCGGTACTTACTGGAACATGTCCTCGAAGCAGACTTGGAAGTGCACATTTAGACTGACATACTCCAAAAGGAGGGGGCTAGGATATTCGGCAAGCTCGCCATCAAGTGACGTACCTCGTGCCTAAGTGGGTTCCTGTCTGAAAGGATGCCTGGCAAGTTTCGCAGCAACAAAGTTCAAGCAGAACGTGTCAGTGCTCCCCTGACATTGCCAGTGTAAACTGATGTGTTTGGCCGTTTGCCCTTCTGCGTTTGCTTCAGTTCCACAAGGCTAACGTTTCGCAGGGTCCTCGGTCGCAGCACCACCATTGGCTGAAAAGGGAAACCAAAGCGAAGCCCATGTTGGAGTGGTATTCTCAGGACAAAGGACATGTTTTACGACAGAAACAGAATGGGTTCCATTAAATTCCATTCTCAGAACAAACCCAATAGATATCATTATACTCCTACGCAGTGGCTGCAGGTTTGACCCTTTCCCTTGGCCGTGCCAAGGAACAGGTTCACGAGAAGCCGAAAGAAGAGCATGCAGCTCCCCCTGTGGAGGCGAGCACTGACATGCAGAGGGTGCGGAACCGCATCGAGGTTTCTCAAAATGGACCGAATTTAACCTGTGATTTTCAGGGTTCTATTTTAAGGACCCCTTTCCGATTTGATTGCATTTTGGGTTCCCCTGTTTTTGGCACAGATTTTCGTCATGCCCCTCGCATACTCACCAAGAGATGGATACTTGGATGTGTCCTTGACATTGACCCTGCGCACGATTCGCAGAAACAGCCTGCCAAAGAGCTGGTAAGCTGGTTCATGGCATCCTCCCTTTTGGCCTGTGAAAGACTGCAGACGACTCATGATGGGCTTAGCACTGCTTAAATCAGCTGCGGGAGGCTTTGCAATTTGGACTGCTGGATCAACACTCAAGTGCGGGTAAGGGGCAGTGCCAGCAAATCGGTGCGGCCATATAAACTCTGTACGTGGGTTTGGGCGCACCATTTGCTTGATTGTGACTAACATGAAAATCGGGCTTTGAGTAAGCATATGCAAGTCAGCAAGATTCCGTGAACATTTCGGGAGTTTGAACTCGTATGTTAGCCATCTCCCCACTTGTTGACAATAAGACGGGGGCAGCTCACGCCGGCAAGATGCCGTGTAGAAATCTCAGATCATTACACTGCGGGCAGAATGAAGCGCCGTCATTGTGCGGCGGGAGATTATATTCTGGTGAGCGGCGCAACTTGAAGCTCGAAGCAGCTTCTGTTCCGAGATGCTGAACCTTGCTTGGTCCGCTTTCAAGAGGAAACCGCAAGGAAGCCAGCCATTCTGGGGGTGTCTTTTCATTTTGAGTCAATCTCTTTGGTTGTATCTTGAAGTGGGGGACGCAAAAAAGTGACCATCATATTTTTGGTTTCTCCCCCCCAAAAAAGCGCACCCTCAAAAGCAAACAAGACTATGTCACTCACCTCGCTCTTCCCAGGAGCTGCTTTCGGAGCCTCTGCCGGAGGACGCTGCCAGCTTCTTCGCAAAGGACGGCGGATGCGTTTTGCGGCAGCTGGGTTCGGTGTCCCTTTCATCCCCCTGCCTGGGGTCTAGGTGCGATAGGTAGGGAAATACAACGAGTTTCCGGGTGCTGGTTGAATAAACCGGATCAGGGGTTCACGCAAAAAGGAAACCAGAGGATGGCTGGTTTATAGGGGTCATTCCATCTCATTCCCCGCTAAGCACCGCCAGCAACTTTATTTTTACATAGGGTGGAATGAATATCCAGAGTCAGACAATTTTCAATTTGGGGGAGGTGCCATTGGCCAAAGCTTTCCTTTCAAGAACCTTTCCATAGCCGTCCAAAAAATGGAGAGACACGTACAAGGCCCAAGCAAAGTCGCAGCCAGAAATAGTTGCGGCCGCCTTCTTAATTCTTTACATGGTTCTGGGTAGACCATTTTAATACCGGGTTTTGATTGTGACTCACATCTTACATCTTGTTTTGATCACATTCCCAACGACCGGGTGAATCGCGAACCCAGGGACATGCCTAGCACTTGGGGCCTTGGGGCGGTTGGCATGACGTGGCTTGGCAGTTTGTTTTCAAGACTTGGGCCCGGCCAACAAGAGCTGTAAGTCGACAACTCGCAAGGATACGAAAGGGAAGCCTCTCAACGGAAGCCGGTTCGTTCCTCTCCGCCCTCCCGGCCCCGCCCACTGGCCAAGGCTCCATTCCGCCCACTGGCCAAGGCTCCATTCCGTCCACTTGACAAGGGAAACCAAGATGAAGCCATATCTTGATGGATCCCAGCCATCCCCTTAGCTGTTTAGCTTGTTGAGGTTTTATGGGGGGGGTCCCGCTTAACCCACACGTCATTCGCAGGGGATCTGAGGATATGAGATGTTGCGATTTCCAGAGGGCCTTTGGAGAGGGGAACGCTTGAACATTTCTGGTGTCCAGATAGCCCATTGGCTTCAAAAGGAAACCAAAAGGGGGCAGTGGGGTATTTTCCATATATGTGCCATATTTGTCCATATGTTCCGTAGTTTCCATTAAAAACACATGGCCCTCTGTTCAACGATCAAGGCTTATTTGAGCCATCCAATTCCAGAAGGACTCCGCGGGTCAGGGCTGCATCGACTGCGGCCTGCCGGACGCAGACTGGGCCAGCGTCTCATGCGGCGCCTACCTCTGCGTGGACTGCGCAGGCGGCTCCGAGAAAACCCCCAAGGCCCAGACCTCCAGATGGGTGGCCGATTTTTTGTTCGGGGAGCTGGGGGGGGGGGATGGTAAGGGGGGGGAGGATGGTAAGGACTATGTTGCAACCTCCTTCTTTGCGGGTATGGGTTTTTAGGATTCCTGGCTGCAAAATAGACTAAGTGTCCTTGGCACAGGGGGCCCTGTACAACCCTTCTGTTCAGCAATGGCCACGCGAGGTGCGGCAGGATGCAAACGAAGCAATGAAGTACACAATTTATAGAAGACACGATGATGCAAAATGTTGCAAGTAGAGGAAGTTGTGGATTTCTCCTGTTTGCTGACTTTGTAAGGAGGGTGTGTCCGCAAGTTGATGTCACCCCGGACTCGTCGATAGGTGGCAGTGCCTGTTTGGGATGTCCAACTTCAATGTGGAGAGCGCATGGAAGCTGCGGCCGAAAGGGTAGATATTTGGGTTTGTTTCCACTGATGAAACTGCTTTTGCCACCCTCATCTCCAGTAGTCTAATTAGTCTTCCTGCAGGGGCTGTGAGTTGATTCGTCCGTTTGCGGGACTCAAAATGTTCTGGCCCCGTGCCAGCTTTGGTTTCTGTAGCCTTGAAGATCGGGAACTGTGAAGTCCACTGCTTGAGACCCTGGAGGAAAACCGACGGGAGCATGGCCCAGCGAAACTTGCTGCTGGGAATTGGAAGATCTCTGCCAAGTTTGGAGAAGCCGTTGATGCCCCCCAGACTCGGATGGTTCAGTTCGTCATTCCCTGCAAAGACGAATGGGGGTTGATCAATATTCCTCTCCCCAAACTTGTTCCATTTAGTGGGCAAAAATGTGGTTTTGGTCGTTGGTGGTCATCCCATGTATCACGGACCTTTGGATCGACCCCCGAATCAACCCATCAGGTCAGTGGAACCCTGATATGTGCAAACAACGACCCAAACCTGCGGTCCAATTCCTGGTGGTTTAATTTTGGCCCATACCCAATCCCCACTAAAATAGGTTCTAAAATGGGTGGTGAATTCACCAACCAAAATGGGATCCCAAAACGGTTTTGACGAGCACACCCAAAGCAACAATTTGGCCTCCCTCACCCCTCCCCTCCCCTGGTGGCTTCCCTAGTAGTCATCCCATGTATCAGGACCTTTGGATGAACCCCAAATGGCTGTGGGTCAAAACCAATGGTACCATTTTGGTTGGTAGGTACATTCACCACCCATTTTAGGCTTCCTATTTTAGTGGTTGGATTGGTTGATGTTCACTGGGGGCTACGATTTGCTCAGTAGTTTAGTGGCTTCCCCACTAAAAATGGTATTCCCCACTAAAAATGGTCTTCCCCAAAAAGGGTTCCCTTTTTCTCCCAGGGTCACGACTGAGTTTGGAAATTTATTCCCACCGCCCAATTCAACCCGTGCCATCGGAGGTCGGCACCGGGGTCTGGGGGTGCATCTCAGCTTCGTCCGCAGCACCACCATGGACCTCTGGACCCCCCAGCAGCTGCGGCGCATGCAGCTGGGAGGCAGTCGATTCGGTCGATTCGCTCGGTCGATTCGGTGGGTGGTGCTCAGCCGCTCGGGTGAGAGGACCCACTGGAGGGAGACTTAGCAAGTGGTGATTAAGCCTGGCTAAAATCCACTGAACGCTTATCGCCATGGCTTTTGTGGGTTATATTCAGGCTTGCTAGCCACTTACTAAGCACCCGATCGCCCGTTTAAGTGAGGTCTCAAACACGGGTGTCTTTGGGCCAGATTTTGAACATGTTCCACAGCCCTTGGTTTGGGCGGTGTCTAGCTTTCGGCGTTAGAGTTTCGGCGTTTGAGCTGCGGGGAGGTGTTGATCGGGATTTTGAACGGTATTGAGGCCAACAAGAAGCCGAAGCCGAGTTTGGAGGTGGCCAGGTTTTGAGACAGACCGGAAGAAGTAGGTCGAATTCCCTGGCTACCTGAGCACGCGACTTCAAGGGTTTCCTGTGCGACCCCGAACCCTTGTAAAAAAAGCTTCTTTCATAGGGAATCCTTATTTCAGGTTGGCAAATTATCCTTCACTCGCAAGGGTTGGCTGTTGTTGCTGTTTCTTTGAGAAAGGGTGGCTGGTCTGGCGTTCTGTTCGTGTTGAGTGGTTTAGTTTAATTATGTTTATTTGTTGATCGATGTCTTTCGAATGAATTGACTGCAGTCCCATGTGGGCAGCAAGAACGATGATTGTTGCCAACGCAAGGTTTGAGCTGATGCCAAATTGGTAGGTTCGTTTCGAATGAGTTGGCTCATAGGTGTCCCTTTTGGGTTGGTTGAAACACAGAGGATTTGCCTCATCTACCAGGGAAACCCATCTATTTTCCCACAAAAAACACTCATGGAGAAACTTGGTGGCTCCCAACCATCCCCTGAGCCTTGTAGTTTTTTAGTGTTTAGTGGTTGGATTTCCATTTAACCCACTAAAAGTTCGTCACTTCTAGCGGGGGATCTGAGGACGGCCCAGGAAAGTATGAGTAAATGAATAACTGAACGAATTAATGCATGGCATGCTACCCCAAACCTCCGAACGAGCAGGCAGCTATGGTTGGGCTCCCTTTCTGAACTGAAGGGAGACAACTTCCTTGGATCCAGATGGTCCAGAGTAATGCGAAGGTTTCACCTAGTGTGCGACATTTGGCAGTGGCTCAAAAAGACGTCCCCCCAAAATGGCCCCTTTGCTAAATGGAAAGAAAGAGTAAAACTTGCGTAACCCCAACTGTTTAATTTCGAGCCACACCAATTTGTGTGAGCTGTGAGTACTATTGATTCCAAAGGCCAGCATGAAGGGCGAGGATTTTGTGGCACGCTACACGCTGTTTTTTTTTGCCTGGGGGTTGATCAATATTCCCTTAAAGGCCAAACCAGCTTTGACCATGGGTAACTGTCTCCTCTTTTAGTTGGAAATATGACATATCAAAACTTTTCAGTGGATTTTCAGCCATACCTAGAAACTCCGCCGGGCCATATTTTTTGCCTTTTGTAAGTGGGACGCCTCTTTCCGCCGGAGCAGTCAAAAAACGCCGGCGATTCTCAAAAACGCCGGCGGTTCCACAAAAACGCCGGAGGGGCGCCAAAAGGGAAAGAGTCAGAACAGGGTTTGACATAATAATAAAGTGCAACGCAGCTGAGACTGAGTGACTTGCCTCGAGCCCGCTCCTCCTCTAGGCTCAAAGCCATGCTTGGGACACACACACACACAAGCGCACATGCATACACACACCTAAGCGCACGCACGCTCACACGCACTAAAAGCAACACCCCACAAACACAGCACACCACACACAACCACAACACAACACACCGCAACATACCACACCATGACAACACCCCGCAACCCAACACAACAGAACACACAACCACACAACACAACGCAACACAACTGAACAGGACACAACACAAAGCAACACAATACAACGCAACCCAACACGACGACACAAACACGCTTCCCACGAGACCCGCCCACTTAAAGCAGCGAGCCAGTCGTCGATTTTGGAGCTTTGGCTGCGGGCTCAGTCATGTCCGCCGATGCCTCTTCAGGTTTTCCTCGTTTCGTCGCAAAACGGCTCGCTTTTTCAAGAAGTGTCGGGCAAGAACTTGACGGGAAATGGTTCGCGAGTCCAACAACCTGGCCAAACGGCTTACCCGCCCCACCTTGTCCTCATTAGGCTCGCAAGCCCATGATAAAGGTGAAAGGATTAAGGGGGCTTGGGTTTTCAAGTCAGAGCGCAAGCTGTAGGCGATGTGGTGGAACGCGTGGAATTTGGGCTTGAGGCCAAACCCTGCCATCCGAAGGTTGTACATAGTGTGAGTTGTCAATGTCCGATATCCCTTCAAAAGAAGCATGATGCGTGTGTAGAGCAATTTGGTGCATTCACGACTAAGCCACAATCCGTGCGAGTGGAGCAGCTCGAAAATCTGAATTCCCTGCTCCACCGTCGTTTTCAGAACTCGAAGGAAATCTAGGTGACGCCGCGATGCGTCCACGGGGCTCGACAAATGCAGCCCAGCCTGCCACCGAACAAATCGTAGTAGCAGCATCGTGTCTGAACCCTTTGAGTTTGCCCAAGGATTGCTCGCTTTGGTCTTGGCACTGAAAAGGAAGATGGTAAAAGATCTCAAGCTTGGAGTTACCCGTTCAGCGCAGCACCAAAGTGTGAACATTTGGTGCGCCCGACCGAGCCTGTCTTTGATGCCCGTCGACCTGATTCCATCGACATCGTAAAGACCAAGACGCGCCAGCACCACAATAGCTGACCCAGCCAGATCTCGCCCGAGGCCGACCTTGAACACGTGAAACACGTCCAGCTTGAACACATCTTCGGGCTTGCGCCCATCATCGTACGGCACAGAAGCCAGCACAGGCTCCGTTTCCCAAGGCCGCGTAGCAAAAAGACTATCTGCCCAGCCCGGTTCGTGGGCAACATCCTCAAATGGGAACATGGCCGTTCCAGCATGGCAAAGCGAGCACATGAGCTCATTGGCACCTAAAGTGTGGTACGAGCGCTCCAAGTTCCCAGACTCCATCTGATGCTTCATGTCGCCCTTGGAGCCGACGATAGCGCCGAAAATTTGGCGGTTCCCAACCTGAACGCCAGTATGAAATAAGCGTATAAGGTCTTCAGCTATGTGCTCCAAGTGCTTTTGAACCACATCCGACTGGTTGCTGTGATAGGCCCACTCCGGGATGCCAAACAAGAGGTGCCTGGTACAGTAGGTGTGACCTTTATAATTCGGCATTTGCCGCTTGGCGCGGTCCAAGTACTCAGGACTGACCTGCGTGACTTGATGCCACGAATGCAAATCCACTGCGGGCATCGACTGAAGCTGCTCCACGCATTTGCAGGTTGCATCTTCTGGCAAGTCTCGCACACCAAGAAGACTCTCTACCGTCCACAGCAGAAACCGAGCACGCCGCGGGCCTCTGCCCTCATCGCCATGCAGGGCCAAAGGTAGAGTTCTACCCAGGTCCTCGATTGGTTTCTGGTGCACTGGGTGCGTTGGGTGATGAAGCTTGTGCAAGGCCCAAAATGCATGTAATTGCAAAGCCATGTCGTTGTCGTCACACTCCCCAATTAAGCAGTGTGGGAACCTCTGCATCAAAAGTTGCACCCAATCGCTTGGGCGAATCCAGTGCGTGACATGCCTCTCCCCCTCAGGCAAATCGTGAGTGAGCTGTCTTATTGGCACGGGCAAGCTCAAACCCAAGCGGGTAAAACATCGGCGCATGTCCCTGTCCGCATTCTGGCCCCCCTTAGCACGGCGTGTTTGCTCATCACTGCCGCTGAGGTCTTGCCCTCGTGCGGCTAGCATCGCCCGCTTTGTGTCAGCCGCAGTGGCCTCAGGTGGGAAACGCCTTTTGAAGGTCACAAAGACAAGCCCCTCAAGCGCCAACAAAAATTATAAGAACGTCATTTACAGTTGAGCTTTAGGGCAACTGGAACTGTTGGGCCGGACCCCCCCCTGTTGAGGTGGCAGGGTCAGCCCCGGATGGAGTAGAACCACCTCAAGCTTTGGAACTCAACAAAGAGCGGAAAAGTTGTTGAAAACCAGCGTTTCTGTCCTTTAACCCCCAATGCTACACGATTTTGCAAAACATTACAGTAGAGAAGCCAGTCTTTTTCCTGGTTGGGAAAGCAGCCTTTGAGAAAACAATAGCCCAAGTTTCGGTAGCAGCTGCAACAGCCTGAGGTTTGCCAGGGTTTGTGGAGCCCCCCCAAGAAGCCGTTTGGGGTTCCTTGGACTGGGTGGCCTGTTTCTTTATTGGCCCTAATGCGTCGGACACTTCTGCGGTTAAAAGCAAAGGGGCTGCCTAAACCAAGTCAACAGGGTTGTTTGAGAAAGCTAAACCATGCGTTTGTTTGACCCACCATGGGCATCACATTTTGCAATAGAGGGTTTTGCAGGGTAGACCTGTAGTCCTTGTTCCCTTTTCCGTGGGACGAACTGTCAAAGTTCCCTACCTTAACAAAGTGGCTTGCTGTCGAACTCAGGACTGCTCAGCAGCAAGGCCCAACAAACTGAAACTGGACCTGCCTTTGAAGAAGCAATGTTTGAGTTTAACACTTTCAAAAGGAATGGATGGATGGCCAGGCTTCCTTGCCAGCGAGCAGTCCCAAGTTCAAGAAGTGGAAATGAGTGATGGGGCATTTTTCCGGTTGGCTTCAGTGAGGGAATAGGGTACCGTTTGCCAGCATGCTACAGGGCTCAACCGATACCACTTTTGTAACGGCGTGGCTTTCCAAAAAGCATTCGTGAACATAATGTTGACGGTCAACACACCTATAGCGGTTTGCCGCACTGCTTGTTGGGCCACCGCGCTCCATCGCCAAAAGATTCGGCCATATGGGAGTCTAGGATGTCATTGCCTTCACCTGGCAACCCACACTTGAAAGGCCAACTTACTGTGAGGTCTTAGTGGCGTAACTTGAACAGGCGTGCGCAGCGTATGTTATTTTGTCTCCGGACAGCTGGGCTGCGCACACACGCGCAGTCGATGTCTCAAGAT